TTTATCGGAGAGTAAAAATCATAGCTCCGTTATCTTGGGCTACTTTTCATCAAAATTTCATTATGTTGAAGCTAAAATCTTCCTTAATATATAAAAAAATATTTGGTTCCTCCAGAGGTTTCCCAGATTTCCAGAAAAAAAATCAAAAATCAGACCATTGACTCTAAGGCAGAAATATCACTTAGTGTGTTTATTGGATAGTAAAAATCATAGCTCCGTTTTCCTGGGCTATTTTACATCAAAATTTTATTATGTTGAAGCTAAAAGCTTCCTTACATTAATAAAAAAAATATATTTGGTTCCTCCAGGTTTCCCAGATTTTCAGAAAAAAAATCAAAAATTAGACCATTGACTCTAAGGCAGAAATATCACTCAGTGTGTTTTATTGGATTGTAGAAATCATAGCTCCGTTATCCTGGGCTATTTTTCCGTAAAATTTCAATATGTTAAAGCTGAAAGCTTCCTCAATCAATAAAAAAATATCTGGTTCCTCCAAGAGTTTCCCAGATTTCCAAAAAAATAATCAAAAATTAGACCATTGACTCTAAGGTAAAAATATCACTCAGTGTGTTTATCGGATTGTAAAAACCATAGCTCCGTTATTCTTTATTTATTATTATTGCTAAATTTGTCCTGTTTCGATTGGTTACAGCCTGAAAAAGAAAATAAATTTTTCGAAACGTAGCTTAAAAAACAATACCACTTACTTGGTGTCATTGGTCCAAATATACTCAAGAACAACAGAATAATATCTTCCTTACTGGACAAGAACTGTATAAAAGAGTTATTCTGTGCTATTTTTCCATAAAATTTTAGTATGTTGAAGCTGAAAGATTCTTTAATAAATAAAAAAATACTTGGTTCCTCCAGGTTTCCCAGATTTCCAGAAAAATAATTCAAAATTAGACCATTGACTCTAAGGCAGAAATATCATCAGTGTGTTTATCCGATACTAAAAATCATAGCTCCGTTATCCTGGGCTTTTTTCATCACAATTTTATTATCTTGAAGCTAAAAGCTTCCTTAAATAAATAAAAAACTATTTGGTTCCTCCAGGTTTCCCAGATTTCCAGAAAAAAAATCAAAAATTAGACCATTGTCTAAGGCAGAAATATCACTCAGTGTGTTTCATTGGATAGTAAAAATCATAGCTCCATTATCTTGGGCTATTTTTCCGTAAAATTTCAGTGTGTTGAAGCTGAAAGCTTCCTCAATCAATAAAAAAATATCTGGCTCCTCCAGGTTTCCCAGATTTCCAGAAAAATAATCAAATATTAGACCATTGACTCTAAGGCAGAAATATCACTCAGTGTGTTTTATCGGATTGTAAAAATCATAGCTTTGTTATGTTGGGGTATTTTTGCATAAAATTTTAGTATGTTGAAGCTGGAAGCTTTTTTAATAAATAAAAAAATATTTGGTTCTTACAGGTTTCACACATTTCCAGAAAAAATCAAAAATTAGACCATTGTCTAAGGCAGAAATATCACTCAGTGTGTTTTATTAAATTCTAGAAATCATAGCTCCGTTATCCTGGGTTATTTTTCCATAAAATTTCAGTATGTTGAAGCTGAAAGCTTCCTTAATCAATATAGAAATATCTGGTTCTTCCAGGTTTTCCAGATTTCCAGAAAAATAATCAAAAATTAGACCATTGACTCTAAGGCAAAAATATCATTCAGCGTGTTTATCGGATTGTAAAAATCATAGCTCCGTTATTCTGGGGTATTTTTCCATAAATTTTAGTATGTCGAAGCTAAAAGCTTGTTTAATGAATAAAAAGATATTTGGTTCTTCCAGGTTTCCAGAAAAAAAATCAAAAATTAGGCCATTGTCTAAGGCAGAAATCACTCAGTGTGTTTTAATAAACAAAAAAATATTTGGTTTCTCCAGGTTTCCCAGATTTCCAGAAAAAAAATTTAGACCATTGACTCTAAGGCAGAAATATCACTCAATGTGTTTATCAGATTGAAAAAATCAGAGCTCCGTTATTCTAGTCTATTTTTTCGTAAAAACCTCAGTATGTTGAAGCTGAAAGCTTTCCTCAATATCTTAGGTCAACATTTTCTGCGTTTATTGTACTTTGTAGTCCAAGTCCCCATGGAGTCAGCGCTATTCAAGTAGTGGAAGTTTTTTCTTTGTAGCAAGTCTGACAGCGTAAATTAGGTTGGAGCTCTGATGAAATCCTTGTGACTCTTCTCTACACCCTTTATATAACATGTGATAAAACCTAACGCCTTGATTGATGATGTAGTTGGAAAGGCAGTAATATCACTCAGTGTGTTTATCGGATAATAAAAATCATAGCTCCGTTATCCTGGGCTATTTTGCCATAAAATTTTAGTATGTTGAAACTGAAAGCTTCTTCAACAAATAAAAAAATATCTGGTTCTTCCAGGTTTCTCAGATTTCCAGAAAAAAATCAAAGATTAGACCATTGACTCTAAGGCAGAAATATCACTCAGTGTGTTTCATCGGATTGTAAAAATCATAGCTTTGTTATGTTGGGGTATTTTTGCATAAAATTTTAGTATGATGAAGCTGGAAACTTTTTTAATGAATAAAAATATATTTGGTTCCTACAGGTTTCCCACATTTCTAGAAAAAATCAAAAATTACTCTAAGGCAAAAATATCATTCAGTGTGTTTATCGGATTGTAAAAATCATAGCTCCGTTATTCTGGGCTATTTTTTCAAAAAATTTTAGTAGTTATATCGAAGCTAAAAGCTTGTTTAATGAATAAAAAGATATTTGGCTTCTCCAGGTTTCCCAGGTTTCTAGAAAAAAAATCAAAAATTAGGCCATTGACTCTAAGGCAAAAATATCATTCAGTGTGTTTATCGGATTGTAAAAATTATAGCTCCGTTATTCTGGGCTATTTTTCCAGAAAATTTTAGTAGTTATATCGAAGCTTAAAGCTTGTTTAATGAATAAAAAGATATTTGGCTTCTCCAGGTTTCCCAGGTTTCCAGAAAAAAAATCAAAAATTAGGCCATTGTCTAATGCAGAAATATCACTCAGTGTGTTTACCGGATTGAAAAAATTATAGCTCCGTTATTCTCGGCTATTTTTCCATAAAATTTTAGTGTGTTGATAAGCTAAAAGCTTCTTTAATAAGTAAAAAAATATTTGGTTTCTTCAGGTTTTCCAAGTTCCCAGAAAAAAAATCAAAAATTAGACCATTGACTTTAAGGCAGAAATATCACTCAGTGTGTTTATCGGATAGTAAAAATCATAGCTCCGTTATCCTGGACTATTTTTCATCAAAATTTTATTATGTTGAAGCTAAAAGCTTTCTTAATAAATACAAAAATATTTGGTTCTTCCAAGTTTCCCAGACTTCCAGAAAAAAAATCAAAAATTAGACCATTGTCTAAGGCAGAAATATCACGGTGTGTTTTATTGGGTTGTAGAAATCATAGCTCCGTTATCCTGGGCTATTTTTCATCAAAATTTTATTATGCTGAAGCTGAAAGTTTTTTTAATAATCAAAAAAAAAAAAAATTGGTTTCTCCAGGTTTTCCAGGTTTCCAGAAAAAAAATCAAAAATTAGACTATTGACTCTAAGGCAGAAATATCACTCAGTATGTTTATCGGATAGTGAAAATCATAGCTCTGTTATCCTGGGCTATTTTTCATCAAAATTTTATTATGCTGAAGCTAAAAGAAAGCTTTGATAAATAAAAAAATATTTGGTTTCTCCAGGTTTCCTAGATTTCCAGAAAAAAAATCAAAAATTAAATCATTGTCTAAGGCAGAAATATCACTCAGTGTGTTTTATTGGATTCTAGAAATCATAGCCCCGTTATCCTAGGCTATTTTTCCATAAAATTTTAGTATGTTGAAACTGAAAGCTTCCTCAATCAATAAAAAAATATCTGGTTCCTCCAGGTTTACAAGATTTCCAGAAAAATAATTAAAAATTAGACCATTGACTCTAAGGCAAAAATATCACTCAGTGTGTTTATCGGATTGTAAAAATCATAGCTCCGTTATCCTGGGCTATTTTTCCACAAAATTTTAGTATGTTGAAGCTGCCAGCTTCTTTAATTCACTTTTTACCACATCTTCATTCTCGAAATTTAACAGTCTTAGCTCTATCTCGAAAATGGTAAAAGATCTTTTACAGGTTTGTCTTAGAATTTAACGTAAAATCTAAACATCCAATAAAATACAGGGTGTTTCATTTAGAAATTTCAAGTGGGTAGCCGCGGACCGCTTATGGGACACGGACACCCTGTATAAATGCGATACTCTGGAAATTTGTTATTTTTTTAGGGAAAAAAGTAAATGGCAAAACCAATGAAACTATTTTACATTTTCAATAATATAACATACAGTTCGAATTCAGTGCACTTGAAAAACATAATGGATAAAAATATCGTTCCAGTTTTTCATATCCGGTAGGTCAAGTTGTTTTTAAACTGGTCAACATTTTGGAAAACTTTGAACGGTCATAACTTTTTTTCTATTATAGATAGGAAGCTGAAACTTTCACTGAATTTTATCCCTTTCAAAGGACTACAATCCCTGAAATTTTAACTCATTTGCACTTATAGTTCCTGAGATAAAGTCGTGTTAAGCAATTCGGAGTGATTTATCAATTTTTCAATTTTCATAGAATGTGGCTCTAAATCTTAGAATAATTTAGTGCATGGAATTCGGAAGATCCCAAAGGACCATTAGGACACAAAGTGAAAATCTCAACACAAAAAAAAATTGAAAACAGTTTTTGAATAATCATACAGTTTTGTATATTTGCGTATGGTTCTCCATTTATAGGTCGATCGAGTGTACGCCACTGGTATTTTCCTGTTTCTGACTACCCCCTCGACCTTTCCATGTTAGTATGAATTCAATCCTATGTACAGTTTTTGAATAATCATACAATTTTGTATATTTTTGTATGTATTTTTAACTCAAAAGTAGGAGCTTTTGTACTCAAGACTTCTTTGGGTGAAAATAAATTCCATTGTTTAAACAGAATAATGCAAAGTAATAAATTGACTCATTCATATATTAAAATAATTTTATTTACAATTAAAATTGTATACGTACATACTTAAGTCTAAGTAGGTTTAAGCCAATAATTCTACTTACAATAAATAACAACAGTTTTTTTTTTAATTGGTATAATAAATAATATAATCTCTTTACAATGTCACAATTATCAAAAACCTGTTCAATATCAATTTTACACATTTGTACTAAGATATTCAGTCAATATTTATCAATAATGAGCCATTTTATCACACAATTTGCTGCTTAAACAACAATATTTAATAGATTCAAATGTGTAAAACTTGTTTAAAAGATTTTTTTTAGGAACTAATAATAATTACCTACTACCTACTCTTAAACACACAATACAATTAAAATTAAAACTTGAAAAAAAGGGTTGTAAATGTTAAAACTTTGATAAAAAGAGTTTACTTTCAAAAATCAGGAAAGTGGCTTCAAGCAAAGCAAGCCATATTTTTTTTTCATGGTTTATGTTTGAATAAAAATATATCGTCATAAAATAAGTAAAAAGGTGAAGTGTGGTGTAAATCTACGACAATCTAGGTCTAAATTTGAGCTAAATCTGGCTACACTGCTAAAATTTTCTAGTTAAATCTATCATCCATGAGTTCCTCTTGCCAAAAGCCATAGGGGTAAAATATATTAAAAATTACCGACGTCCAAACCTATTTTTAAGTAGTGATAAAGTTTTGGCCATTAATGGAGCTTTTTTGGGTTTAAGCTGGCTGCTACTACCTAAGTTAACAAAAATAATAGATAATTTAAATAAATTTCTTCTTCCTTGAATAAGTATTAACTTACTTCTTTCAGAAACGGGTCGTCCTGGTTTGGGCACAACAACTTTCCCAGCTTCACCAGCTTTGGCTATTTGAGTTAATCTTTCCTGGGTCGTTTGAGCAGGTCTTTGGGAATCCAAGATAGTACCGTTTCTAGCCTGTAAGTAAATATAACAAAATCGTAAGATGAGGGTCTTCATTCTTGAAATAGGGGAGCAGCGTTCCCAGGAGAACAAGTATTCCGTCTTTGTTACTTATATTATCATTTGAATATCATTAGAAAAATGAATAACACTGGTTGTTCTTGGAATGCTGCTCCCCTGTTGCAAGAAAAAGGAACCAGAAAGGATGTTTTCAACTATGATGTGGAATTGAAAGTTAGAAGATCGAGTTCATGTAGAAATTAAGGCTAGACTATCTGAAGGTCTTTCAGATGTTCAAAATATACTAAAAGACCGAGTAAAAGACTTTGATTGGTTATGCCACTGAGGTTGTCAAATTTGAATAGAAAAGAATGAGCCAAATATCAAAAATTCGAAAAAAAGAGTCTTAGTAGGTAACTGCTCATCTGAGCACAATAAGCAATAATGTAAACTAAAGAAAATCATTTTCAGATCTAGAATCTGGTGCAAACTAGAAACCTGTATCTTTTTGGAATGCGGCAAGTCTTATTTCTCCGAAATCACTGATTTGAGCTAAGTCATCAAAATAAAGACAAAGGTTATCATTATTATTATTATTATTATTATTATTGCGAGCAATATAAAGCGGTCTAAACCGATAATGCTATTGCAATTATATGATGTTTTTTCTATGTGTGTGAGTTCAGTTGGATTATCTTTATACATTGGCTATATTTAGGAATTAGGGATTAAGGTTACATCGGGGGTTACATGTACTGTGTAAGTTGATTCTTCAAATTGTCCATTACTTTATCCAGCGCGTTCTTGAAGGCGTTGACAATTGGTGCATTTACAGTAGATTCCTGAAGGCTGTTCCATTTTTATACAACTCTATTGCTCAGAAAGTTTTTTCTCAAAAGCAGAGCAAATCTTTCTTTGTTGAGTTTCTTTGAGTGGTAGCGTAGTTCTCATGTATGGGAAATTTGGAAGAGTGCCAGATCGATTTTTGGGCTGAAATAACCCGTTAGTACTTTGAAGGTTTCAATGAGATCACCTCTTTCTCGCCTTTCTCTCAATGTACTTAGTCCGAAGTCCGAATATTTTAAGGCGTTGACGGTATGGTAGGTATCACTTCTGGAGGTATCTTGGTGATTCTCCACACAGCATAGGCATATTTCAGCTAAGGACACACAAAGGTCTTATAAAGGCTTTTTATCATTTCCACAGAGTGGTCACTAGAAGCTCTCTTTATTAAGTACACTAGGGTGTTAGCTGCAGAGATCTTCTTTCAGTTTCTGACAGTGGCGGCTCGTGACTATTTCAAGTGAGGAGGCTAATTACAGTATAGGATTTCATGAAATTCCTCGGATTTCAATTTCAAAATTCCATATTTTTTTTTTAACTTTACTAAAATTCCTCAAAATTTTACAACTGAAATATCCTGGAGAATTCCACAAAATTTTCATAAATTTTTTTGGAATTTCATGTAATTCCTTAAAAATTTCTCGGAATTCACTAAAATTTTATGAGAATATCCACGTTCATAATAGAAAATTTCTCGAAACACCAATGAAACTTCAAGGAATTTTCAAAATTTAATTTATTTTCATAAGAATTTTTCGGAATTTCACTGAAATTCTCTTTTAATACCCAGGAATTTCTGGTAATATTAATGAAGTTTCAAGTAATTTCTTAAAAATTCATCGTAATATATTGAAATTTCATGTTATTATTACATGCTAATTTTCCGGAATATCACCGAAATTCCATGTTTTTAGCTGGAAATTCCTCGACATTACTAAAATTCAGTAAAAACTGAAATTTCATGTTAGGAATTTCGGTGTAATTTCATGTAATTGTTTAAAATTCCTCCATGTAATTCATTTAGAATTTCGTGTAATTCGATCGGAATTTCACTGAAATTTCAAGTAATTCAAGAGGAATTAAAATTTAATGTGAATTCTATGGAAACCTCGCAAAAATTTCACATCTAATTCCTTTTTCAGAATAACATAATTATTCTATCGAAATTCCACTAAATTATGGAATTCTGAGATTTTAATAGATTTTTGGGGATTCCAAAGGATATTTAGGAATTTTAAAGGAAATATTTTTCAGAAATGTCAATGATTGGGTTTAAAATAACCTTTAAATCGAGATTTGATAAAAACATATGGCAACGCTGCTCATGATACAACAAACGTCAAAAAATTGAAATTTCAAACCTTGGGTTTTTTTGACAATCGATACAAAATGACGTCTTTTTGTTTCAAAGATTACGGCCCGAAGGGCCGGAGTATGAAAAATCAGTTAACAATGAACGGGTTCGTTCGGATAAAACTTTTGTCGCACGACACTTTGGCAATATCGACAAATGTCACCTGCCAACTATCGATTTGAGTCAAAAAAAATTGACAGCTGTCAACGTCAAAGAAGTTTTTTTTTTTTTTATTTTGCGAATTTCGAGAAAAAAAGTGATAGAAAACGATCCCCGGACCCGAAAAAACCTTAAATAAAAATTCAAAAAAAAAAAAAAATAACGAAAATGACATTCCAAAACCTACTTGATAAAACTAAAGTTTTTCTCACGTACCCCGTTAAAACACTGGAAATTTTTGGTGGAAAATGAAGAAAACTCAAAGCCTCGTACTTTAAATCGGTTTTTCCGACCAGAAAAGCCCTGGAAAAGCGGACAAATTCAAAGAAAAACCTCTAAAAATGACATTCCAAAGCCTACTTAATGAAATTTGTGTTTTTGTCACTTGCCCTATTGGAAAACTGGGAATTTTTAGCACAAAATGTAGGGAATTCAAAGCCTCGTATTTCAAATCGGGTTTCTTGACTGAAAACGGCTTGGAAAAGTGGAAAATTCGAGGAAAAACTGAATAGAAATGTAAACACGTGAATTAAATATTGCCAACTGTCAAAACTGGCAAATGATATTTATTACAAAACCTATTTGAAGTTGGTACAAACGGTGTTGCCACATCGAAACTTCCAAAAAAACCATTTTAAATGGGAATTTGTTATTTATGTCATTTTAAAACTGGACATTTTTGCTAGAAAATGAAGAAAACTCAAAGCCTCGTATGTTAAATTGCCTTTTTCCATTGAAAAGCCCCGGAAAAGTGAAAAACTCGAGGAAAAACTGGCAAAAAATTACAAGGCGTCACTTCAAAATGGCCAACTAAAAGCAACGTTGCCACATCTCATTTCGGAAAACAAAAATAACATTTTAAAAGGGTTTTTTGTTTGAAATTCAATTTAATAATTAATTAATAATGATTATAATAATTAAAATTCCTCAAATAAATTATAGGAAACTTGTTTTTAGTTTAATTTCAATGAAAATGACATTTAAAGGTTTACTTATTGATTATAGCGAGTAAGACAAAGACAATGATAAAGTAGTATATGTTTGCAAAAACCACCGTTTTCTGAAAAAAATAAAAATCTCAAGAAAACCAACATTCCAAAGCCAATTTGATAAAACTAAAGTTTTTGAATATTCCTGACTCTTTGATCGGACGTTAGAAATCGCATTTCAAATACTCCCGGTTTTCAATTAGCTCAAAATTATCCGCTCACCAATAGAATTATAAACTAGGCCCCGTTATTAAAATAACTCTAGCCCTTCGGGCTTGTATTACTCCGGCCCTTCGGGCTCGCATATAACTCCGGCCCTTCGGGCCGGTATTACTGAGTATCCCAGATTCACAGATATTTGTCGTGGAGGCGCGGGATTGATTGAAATAATGTTGTCAGATTTTTCTAAATTACATTGAAATATCGAAAATTGGAAAGTGTAATTTGTTAATTATTATTTTAATTAGAAATCAGGAATAAAAAATTGAGATTGAATTTTCAATTTTTTGGGGGAGGTTTAGCCTCCTCTGCCTCCTTTGACGAGCCGCCACTGGTTTCTGAGTGCCATGGGTTGGATTGCAGTAAAGCTTTGTATCGTCAGCAAAGTTAGGTACGTGATTGTGATACGATATCAGACTGAAGGCCACTTCTTATGTCACTGATGTAAATAATGAAGAGCAAAGAGCCTAAGACAGAGCCCGAGGCACCCCACTTAATGCATTGTGCTGCTCAGATAACAAACACCCCATTTGCTCTCACTAGTGAATGTTCTGCCTTGCAAGTAACTGGAGTAAGTGGAGATCCATCGCAATAAGCTACCCCTTATACCGAGGTGGTCAAGCTTGTATAAAAGTCTTTGGATTGGAACCCTATCAAACATCTTCTCAAAGTCAAAATAAACAACATCAACAGCCCCCCCTACTATCCGCTTGTTTTGTCCACTTGTTTAAACACAACCCTTCCAAAAAGTGCATGTTAAACTTATGGGACGATAATTTCCAGGGTTGCGTTTGTCTCCCTTCGTGTAGATGGTAGATGGGCGTTATGATTGCCTTGGTCCACTTATACTGGCTGCTGTTTTATTCGAAAGTATGGCTGGAATGTTAGCTGGAGTCTATTTTAAGGGTTTTTAAAACTTTCGGAGAAAAATTTTGAGCTCATTTACTTTTCCAGAACTTGACCTTAGTACTATTATTTAAGTAGTTACATATTTTTTTAAAATTTATAATGAATGCTAGCTAGAAAATGCTAGTTAATCAGTTTTTTTGACAATTGACAGATGACACATCACTAAAAATCTACCAGCCTTATGGCCGTTTCCACCAACTATTTTAGGGAAGCCCTAACGATAAGTATTCCCTAAACTGACATTTCTCCATGTAAAAATGTCATTTTAGGGAATACTTATCGTTAAGGGTCCCCCAAAATAGTTGGTGGAAATGGCCATTAATAGGCTGAGTTCGTTCGGCTTTGCACTCTACATAGCGGAACGGTATGTGCATGGATATCGTGACGTCATAGGCAGAATGAGCTCTGAACAAGTGTACAGTGGGAATCATTGCAATTGACACACACTCTCACAACCAATAAATCTATTTAGTGCAGCATTTTGCTATTACTGGTGTGTCAGATTTGACACATTACGAGGGATATTTATATAGTGTAATCTG